CACACACACACACACACACACACACACACACTATATATATATATATATATATATATATATATATATATATATATATATATATATATATCAGGTACACTCCATATAACATCACACAGGTCCGCGCGCTCTGGCACACCTTTCCAATCACTGCAAATCAATAGACACGCATGCCATGACTCTGAAGGGGAGTGGGAGAGGACTAGGTACCTGAAGTCGGTGATATGTATATGTGTAGTCTATGCACCACAGAACGACCACAGGACACAACCGCCATCGCATTGGCTGTTGCATGATAGTGCACTATATACAACACACACCCACTCAACGACGCAATGGCTGTCGCATATGAGACTGAGTCCATCTCCCGGTCTGAGCTGAGCTTTCGGTGGGCCTTAGGGCGTCGGCGTGAGTTGGCTCGTGACCACATGCTTGGTTGTTGTGGTGGTATACTCTCAGTGTTATCAGCCGTAGCAGCACGATAAGCCTGCTCTGTCGCACGCTGGTCTGTTGCGGTGTGCGTATCCCCGCCATCTGCGGCTGGTTCCGGTGGTCCACGGCCGTGTGCCGGCCCTACCCCCGCCTCCGAGGACAGGACCGGTCCTAAACTCTCCACGGGTGCCTCGTTTATGTCGGTCAGCGAGGGGTTGGTGGGGTAGACTCGGGGACCGGGGTATGGGCTCAAGTGCAAAGGTGATGGTGATCGGGACACACCGTCGTACTGTGTGTTCAATGACTTGTGTGATACGTCCGACTGCGAGCGCAGCAACTCACTGTCTCGCCGGCCGTCATCACGCCTGCAATAAAGACCCGATTAAGTGTGTATGGGTAATGTAATAAAATAATTAGGTGTGTATGGTAATGAAATAAAATGAGTAAGTGTGGATGGTAATGTATTAAAATGATTAAGTGTGCATGGTAATGTATTAAATTGATTAAGTGTGTATGGTGATGTATTAAATTGGTAGTATCTATCAGAAGATGTCGCGTGGAGAGTATTGTAGTGTTGGTGAGATCGTATTGAGTGTGTATGTTGTACGTCTGATACTCCGTCCTACTCGTGAGGCATATAGTTCTTCGTAAGACTATGAAGGCACAGTTCTGTATAGAGTGTGTAGATAAGATTGATGTGCGTAGGTAAGATTGATGGTTGATGGTATACCGTTAGATGTCGCGTGCACAGTAATAAAACAATAATATCAAGTGAGTGGTTTGGATTGCCATTGACACGTGAGGTGTTGTAGTGTATGTGCTGGTAATGCCACGCCACGTGTATGCGATTGAACATCAAGTAGGTAGGCCATATACCGGTGATATCGGAATGGGAGCTTGCCTGTGGCTCGGTATTGTACTATCTGCCTTGCATCGCTTACTATGCACACACACATGTAGTTGACGAACAACATGTGTGCCATCTATACGAAATTACCTACAACCTGAAAGATGTTTTAGCGAGTGCGTACTGGTGCTAAATAGGGGGTATATAGTGTACCTCTGAAGATATCTTAGTGAGTGCGTACGGGTGTTAAATATGGGGGTATATAGTTCATTTCTGAAGATGTCTCAATGAGTGCGTACGGGTGCTAAATAGGGGGTATATAGCGTAACTCTGAAGGTGTCTTTTAAAAAATGAGTGCGTACGGGTGCTAAATAGGGGGTATATAGGGTAGCCCCGAGTAGGAGGGGTATTCACCTCTATCTCAACCCCTACACGAGCGAGTGTTCTGCAGCTGATCTACATGTCACTGCCAGTCAACACCTCACACAACCAGCTTTTCCCAACAGAAACACCAAATGCTACCAAGGCACACGCTACAGCTACGCACCTGGAGGACGATAGGATGGTACGCAATTCACCATTCACGGAAAGTGGTCGATCAATCTGTTAACAATACATTGAAGGTCTGTTAGAAATTTGATTCAGCCCTTAACGCGAGGTTTACAGGTGTGCAGTACTTTTGTTCATATATATATATATGTGTGTATAACATATATATATATATATATATAGATTCAGCCCTTAACGCGAGGATTTCAGGTTTGCATTACATTTGTTCGTATATATATATGTATGTATAACATATACATATACATATATATATATATATATATATATATATATATATATACCTACTATATACTATATAC